GATGGCCTTCTCATAATAACAATGATACAAATGTTATTCTTCCATTCACTCCTCCTCACTATTCCTTTCCCAGCCTTGCTTTTTGGCTCCCATGGGAAGCACATAATTTTCATATACACAGGTTTTCATCGCTTCCCTTTTGGTGAAAGACTTGCAGGAGAGACAGAAACAGGGAGAGGAAGAGAGCTGGGGACTGTTTATTCAGTCAGATGGTCTAACGTGTGTGGAATAGATTTGAGCTAAAAAGGAAGCTGTCTGCACAATGGCAGTTGGCAACATTGAATGTGTGAATGATGCGGAATTCATCATCATACTCTCGTTGACTCATGGACTTTGCTCTATAGCGAACAGTAAATTGAGATTGTGGACATTTAACTCCTTTTCGTTATCAATGGCAGGTGTAGTGCTGCATAATAACAATGACACATTTATATTTTGTACTTATTTATTCATGACATGAGATTAATAAAGCTCGCTTTTCAATGACTTACAACTCTGTGTGGCCTCGGGTGTTTAGGAAAGGCCAACACATAGGAAAATATACGTTTTAGAATGATATATCTGTACATGTGGACAAGGCCCAGACACACCAGCACTGTGACTAGCTCTGAAAATGGTTTGCATTATTTTGAAATACACCAAATAATAAAATGTTCATTAACTTTTCATGAACAACCATATAAAGAAATGTATGCCTTGTTTTCACACAACACTATTGAATTTATAATCGTACAGCCAAGATGAGCGAGTAAGTCAGCAAGCGAGTGAGTCAGTCATTCAGTCAGTATTTTTCTCCTAATTTTCACAGATCTCATCATTGCTTTTTGGATTATTCACCCATGCAAAATTATTTTCCTCAGGTAGCTGCAAGTACGTCTCCCTGTCCGTCTTTTATACTCTTTTATACTCAGCCTACACTCGCTTCACTTCCTCGTGCCATTCACTGTCATTGTGAAAAGGTGTGTGTGACTCCACTGGTAGAGCAGAGCCCATTATCGTAAATAGGCCAATAAGTAACTTCACACATTGTGTCTCTAAAGAAAGCACACTCTATATGCAAAGCAGAGGCGCACTGTTAAAGAAACTGGCGCCAAGTGATTATATTTGTAATTTAATTTCCTTGGTCACACAGAGATAAGAGAATAGAGCGCCTGCAGTTGGCTAGGGATGAATAGAGTGACGAGAATGGGACTACAGCTTCATTGTCTGGACTGAGATGTCCGAGACGACTCCACTTACAAACAAGGGCACCGGAGGGCAGATATGGTACACACACAAGGAGACTGAACTCAAAGACACAACAATGTAAGTACCAGAGACAGCAGAGACTTTGACTATGCAAAAACACTTGCAGTCTCGAAATCAAATGGATGAATGTAAAGTGCATGGATAATCAAGAAACTCTTGATTTCCTGAAGCAAGTTCTGTCTCTCCATTTTTCTGTCTGCCTCTTCGCACTCAGTACTGCTGAGCAAACGTAATCAGCAGTGGGGTCTGGGTGGGATGATGTCAGTCACAAAGAGTAACGGCTCATTGCAGATTCTACAGGCGAGATGGACCTGGTCCCTAAGACTACTGAAGGACACAAGGTGTATTCTTCCAACTTCCTCTCTGTCTGCCTCCATCTGTCTGCTTTTTCTGAGATTGTAGAACTGCAGATATCAAATTTCCTGACTTTTCCATTTTCAAAGGGTATCCACTTAAACTGATGACAATGCAGTGGAGAGCACAATACTGCAGTGGTCACACTCTGATTTAGACTAAATCAGAACATTCAGGGCTGTAGAGAGCTGGCGGTGACAGAAAAAAGGTACAAAGTCCATCAAAATCTGACACCACACATTGCCGCATAGAGCTCAGGGTCAGTATGAAACTGGTTTGTGACATTTCAAATCCTTTTAGATTTATATTCAGATTCATCATCCTAGAGAAATAGTTGTTTTCACAGCCAATACATAGAAACATATTGATATACCACAACATATAGATATAGGCAGTACAAAGAATCTTCATGTATAAATTCATTCAATTCAAGCTCCCAGCAATATCATTGAGGTAGATAGTTCAGGGCTGCTTTTGCAGAAGGTTAAAAACAAATGTTGATGCAAGTTCTTCTCTATTCAAATGTGCCGAACTAGATTGAGGAAAAACGCTGTGTTGGTTTTGAGGTTGATCAGTTTCAATTGATATTCTGAGTGTTATCAGTGTGAAGGCTTTGAGGTTTTATCTGATAAACTGGGTGTTGGAAGGGATATGATTTTTTTTTAGGCAGTGTGTGGGAGGTTGGCAAGTTTGTTTTGGTTGGAGATGTTTATCATGGAGCGTGAACAGAGCAGTAGGGGTTCAACACAACACTAACAAAAGACTTGCTGGTATCATCAATGCATGTCAGCAGTGTGTTGATCAAAACTGAGTTTATTGTCTATGATGATTCAGGGATATTTAAAGCTTCTCCTCTGATCATGTCTTATAATGAGTGGGTGGAGGTCAGTCCAGTGCAGGTTGTGTTTGATATGCTTATTACCAGTTCTCTTTTCTTGTCTACATTTATCTTCAGGTAGATGTCATTATAATATTGTTGTGATGTATTGACTGTAAAGGTTTTTATACAGTAGGCTTTAACAGAGTTTTTGTCAATGAGTAGTCAACGTATGACAGTCATCAGAATATTTGAAAGATGTTGTGATGGTTAGAGGCTTGTAGTTATTTGTGTGGATGGTGTAAGAAAGGGCCCGAGGACACAGCCCTAGGGGGCTCCAGTGTTAGTTCAAAGGTATTGTTTTTTTTTGTTCACAGTGTTTTGGTTAAAATAAGCTAGTTTTCTTTTTTGTTCAGTGTTAACCTAGTTTTTCACTGAGACTGTAGAGTACTAGTACAAAAATGTCATGTGTAGGGTTTGTGTTGAAGAGTGACACCATTAGATTGACCAAGTTATTAACCTGACCAAGTTGGAAATGAAAATGAGTTGGGTTTATTGCTGGTGAATTTGTGAACCCAGTGGATTACTGGAGTGGAGGGATGTTGATATATAAAGCTGTTGTTTATCTGGTGGAGTCAGATTGTGTCGAAGCAGAGAAGAAGTTGGCAAAAAGAAGGAGGTGAAGCTGCCTGCAGATTCCAGGTGTTGGAGTTGGAGCAGTGAAAGAGGCATGCCACAGCACCATCTTTCCCTCGTTTGACTTTGAAGGCAAACTGGTAGGGTTTAGTAAGAGAGGATGGGGGAGAGCTCCATGGCACAGGGTTTAAAAAACAAAAGTGGGGATGCCAAATATTCTCTCTCCCTTTGTTCCCTATTCATTCCTCCTCTCATCTTCATCCCTCAATTCCAGTGGCGAGCCGTGACTTTTATACCTAGACCCTCTGAACCCCCCCCCTCGAAAATAATAAAAGTAGGGTAGACATGTGGATATTATCCGGCTGAACAAAACGTGCATTTATCTAACAGGTTCGTTTTCCACAGACCTTATTTCGAGATATTTTCCAAAATCCTCTGGAGAAATCTCACTGCTTTCTGTCGAGGGAATTCGAGCGCAGCTTACTTCCGGGTTTTAGGACGCGTCACTGCACCACTTGCATAGACCAGAGCCCTAGAGAGATAATCTCTCTCTAATTATCTCTCTAGGGCTCTGGCATAGACCTCACAGCGGGCAGAACTTGTCATAAAGTCCGCAAAAATAAAGCCCGCCCATTTAGAGGAAAGATATGATTGGTCAATTGTACTGTCATTTGACATTACTCTCTCGTTGAGTTACTATAGCGGGCCCTCTGTGAATGTAGAGAGGGACCAACAAGCTCTTCCGTCTTCACATAACTCGCAGAGACGGCATTTAACCCTTCACATTCCAACAGAAACTGAACAGGCAGATTCGAAGGATTTATTTCTTTGGAAATATTATTTTAAATTAGTGCTGTCAAAATTATCGCGTTAACCGCGGTAATTAATTTTTTGAATTAATTGCGTTAAAATATTTAACGCATTTAACGCATGTGCAGAATGGCCCGCCCCATACGTGCCACCAGTGGCGGCGCCAGGGTATGGCTGGGGTAGGCTACACCCATACCAAGAAATGGCTTAGCCCCACCATGAAAAATGATGTTAAAGTAAGCGAAATAAAGTCTGCCAACTCGCGCGGAGTAAATTGCACAGACAGCTGTTAGTAAGATTGATTTCAGCAGCCACGGTTTTGAAAACTTTTGTCACGTAGTGATCGTCTTCTCAATAGAACATCTTTGATAACGGCGTGGTGTTGTTGCAGGAAGTCCCGACGGAGAATACTTTTGCTGAAGTACGGGTGCACATAACTGGTACGCAGGTTATGTGCGTAATCTGAAATGCGTACCGTCACTTGGTCACGAAGTACTCCACTAGCCGCCGCCGCCCCCCCCCCCCCCCTCTGTCGACTTTCCTGAAGTACTCCCCCGTTGATAGAAATCAACACGTAATGAATTAAGACCCCACGGTTTGATGATTGATAGGTGTGTAGGTTGTCTTTCATTTTGACACGCAGAAAAATGTTTTAATAAACATAGATACTGTATGTTAAATGGATATATCCGCCTTCTTTCATTTATCTTTCCATTCCCACAACAATATACATAAATAAATGGCATATTTTGGACATAGTTCGAATGGTGATTAATCATGATTAATTAATTTTAAAGCTGTGATTAATCTGATTAAAAATGTTAATCGTTTGACAGCCCTATTTTAAATACAATTAAAGCAAGTTATTTTGGTAAAACTAATGAAAAATGTAACAACAAAAAAATATTTAAAAAAATATTTTTAAAAAAAAACGTGTTTTTTTTAATGTATTCAAATATTATTTTTTAGAATATCTTAGGCCCTCACAGAGGCCCTTGACGGCTCGCCACTGCTCAATTCTGCATATTTCCTCAGCATTTTTTACTTTGAACCAAACGGCATTAACCTGTCAGGAAAGTTACAAATGTTCTGAGTGAATTATGTAAACCACAGGGAAATAAAACTGCAAAAGGCATCAAGTTTTCACTTTATTTCATAATTCATCATGCTCCCACATCGAGCCAAATAAAAATTGGCTTATTAAGTAGTCCGGCACATTCTGGCTCAAAATCCTCTGAAATATGCTACAGAATATTAATCACACTTTGTCTACCTCACAAATAATAATCAAACACAAACAAACACTTTCCTTTTTTTGATGATTTCATTACTCGTCAAATGAGAGCAGTGTCTCCTACATTTCACTGGATTTCATTGCAAGAAGCAAAGCAAAAGATGTTACACCAGCACCACCAAAAGGTAAAGCTGAAAACAACAGCTTGCTTTCTTTACCACAAAATAAATGTTACAGCACAACACAAATCTAATTCAGGAAGGATGCTTCACCATTTTAGCAAGCACATTTATTTATATATCTCAATGAACACTAGCGCACAGGAGCAAAGAGAAGCACATGCATTATTCTGGGGGATGGGGTAGTGTCAGTGCTGTAATTAGTAGAACATGGCTGTATAATTGGTCTCTAATTGATATGAAGAGCAGTGGTTTATCCCAGGTTATGTTCTACACATGCTGCTGTCTGCGGGCAGAAATCGCTGGCGGCCTGCCTCAATCTTGGTGCCATCTTCTGATTGATGTCTCTGTAGAAAATGCCCTTCAACAATCAGTACCTACGATCTCTCTGTGTCTATCAGGCCCCCTGTCTATCTGTGCCTAACATCTTATACCATTCATCTGTCATTTCATCTTTTGTGCCTAAACGTCTCACTATCTTTTTCTTTCTATCTCCACATTGATTCCGCCCGTCTTTCTCTGAAGGCATTCTCAACCTTTGGTCGTTTTTTCTCGGGAAGGTGAAAGAGCAGCGTTTGTGGTGGTGGAAGGGAAAAAGTGAGAGTTTGTTTATGACAGACTGGCAGCCATAAAAGACTGCATGCTTTCAAAGGCCAAGACAACACCCTCAAGGAGGGGGAAAAAAGAATTTAGATGAAAAGGAAATACTTTTCAAAAGTACTTTTATTTCAGAAAGAAAGTGGCATACCTATTCTCTTAATTTAACAAATGAGGTTTAAAGAGGATTCTTTTAGGATTTAGCATTGAATTACAAATAACAGTCACTGCTGAGAGGCACAGCTTGACTAAAGTGGTGAACACACATTGAACTGAATAGGTTTGAAGTTTGGGTGAGGAAGCTCTTTAGAACCATTCTGCTCATGGATCGAGTGCTGATGCAAGACGACCTTCAAGGACATTCCCCTCATTTACACAGCAATTAAGCACTACCCTGTTGGTAAATTGAAAAAGAGACAAAAATCCTCTGTGGATTTAATAACAAACTCATTACCAGGGCCCAACAGGGCGGAACTGCCTTTTAATTAGAGCAACACCTGATTAACGCCCAATTAACAGAGCCAGAGCCACTTAATTCTCCCCCACTTTGGCAGGTGCAGAACATAAACATAAGCCGTCCAGCGTCAGAGTGCTTCCTCTCCTCCAGGAAATGTGTGAGAGAAAAGTAAATAACGACTTTGGAGGCAGTCTGTTGTCGGGTGGTCCACAAGCTTGGAACTATGCTGAAAATGTGCTGGGTAGGTGATTCAAATAGCTGATGATATGTAGGACTGGCTGGAAAAACCTTTGCTCCACTACACTTGCAACTCCTTGTAAACAGATGCAGGAACACGCCAAGCTGTCAACCATCATGCTCAGCCATATGAGCTGATAATACCCTCTATGACAGACACACGTTAATAAACATATCCAACTTTTATTCAGCTGTGGAGGACAGCACATGATCAGCATAGTTAAACTAATCCGTGTTGAACGTACAACACAGCATATGACCACTAATAGATAATAAAATAAGGAATCATTAAAGTGATATTTCCATTTGTTGTATTAGCAAACACCTTTGTTTTACCTTTTATAAGAAAACAAAAATAAACATAAACATACGTGTATTTAACATGCATCAACAACTTCGCAGCTTATACAGAAACATTGAAACACTAGTACTTGAAAAAAAATAATAGTCCAGGTACAAGCTGGATGTTTTGTGAGTGTTTTGATAACATCAATCTGACACAAAAAAATTAAACAAAGCTGGATCTGATTCTGGCCTGGGGGCACACCTGGACAACAAGCACCAGTTTACAAATACACTTTGTCAGATAACAATTGTCATCTTACATTTACCGCCCAGTTAACCAGCCAGTATTGTTGGTCCTTAGTGTTTTACTTTTGAGTCAATACTGGCAACAAAGTGGAGAATCACTGCTATGATCAGCTCTTGAGAAAGCTGGAGACTTTCAGGAATCCAACTTAATTCCTCTGGCAAACACTTGAACTCCCAACACAGTTAATCAATATTCAGTCTGGTTGTATAGATCAATAATAATAATGATTCCCAAACAGGCCACTCAGCTTGATGCCGGGGCTCAATCAGGCGAGTGAGACACGAGTGTGAATTGCTGGTTCCCCATTGAGCCTGTGTTAGTAATGTGTAACATACACATTATCATTCATTTCCTCAGTCATGTCCTAATTTATGCACCCCACTCAAGGCTATTAGGAGCCATGTTGCATGTTTCCAGGGTAATAACCGTCGCTGAAAGAGCGTTTAGCGGTCTTCAATTGAGAGGAAATCCGCCAGGACTCCACAGATTTCTCTAGGTCTGGCAGGATGTCAGGCACAACAGCTTGCTCAGCTATAAACACTATCATCTCCACGACCAACAGCAGGACCCAACCTAAGGCCCCTAGCCAATAGGAGGAGCCGAGGCTGGAGAAGTCCTGACGGATTTCTTCCCTGTGCTGATAGGTGAAAAAGGACCAGCTGAGGAGGAAGAAGAAACCTATAGAAAGTGGAGAAAATCGAGTCAAATCAAGTATCATTGCGGGGAAAAGAAAAAAGTCATTAAGGTCAATTATTACATGCCTGGAGCTTTAGAAAAGAGTTTGTATGATAATGAGCTGCAATTCCAGGGAAAGTTAAAAGTGTCTTTAAACCACTGCTGCCCTGCAGGGTATGTACATGAGGAGTACATGAAAGAATTTATCGAGAGGTGGGTTTGACATGAACTACACAACCCAAAAGGCTATTTGGAGGTTAAATGGAAATGGGGATATGTTTGACTGCTTTACTAGGAACACATAGGTATTACAACTAATTATAAATAGAAAAACATGGTGTGTGGCTCAGGTTTCAAATGTTCTGAGCAGTGTCATGGTGTTACCTGTAGAGGCCATGGTGAACAGCAGCAGGGTGGTGGGGTACAGGGCCTGTCCTGCCATGAGGAGAGAGCGAGTGTTGGAGTAGGAGCGCACCGTCTCAGATGTCCAGCAGAGGGCAAACACCAGACACAGAGCCCCCGTGCTTACAGCCATCAGGAAGGAGAGCACTCCAAATACTCTCTCTGCCTCCAGGGCTGTAGGACAAATGCACAGTTCAAAATGAGAAAGGTAATGATTGATCATAACTTTAATTTGCCATAATTACAATACGTTTCTACTATGAATAGGCAGAATGTTGAAGTGAAACATGTTGTAAAAGGGAAACAGCTCTGCATTAAAGTGAAACCAATAGGGTAAAAACAAGAGTTCATGTACTTTTAGGTAGTTTTCATGACTGCAACATTAATTCTGAAATTCTGATTTGCACAATAAAAAAAGAAGGAAGACATTTTACTTTTGTAACAATGACCAGCAGATTGTTTCACTTAGATGTTCTGTTACAAGGGGCATCCCCTAATCACATATGTCATAGTTTATTTACTGACATTATTAAACCCACCTTATGGCCTATGACTAATCAAATAGTAAAAAGAACCACTACGCCAAAGCCCTGCTGGTTTTGTGATTGATAATTTGCAAGTTGTTGATTTGGTCTCTTGCCTCAATTATACTCTACTACATATATTTATATAATATTTACATTTTGTTTTCTTCTAGTGGCTAAACAGATATTTACCATTCAACCTGAAACTTGAAAAATCCATGTACATTTTTTCTTGTGCTTGTAAAGTGAGGGGGGTTGATTTGACCACATTATATTCAATGAAAAGGTAGGTTTGATTAGTAACAATGTCAATGGAATACAACTAACAAGGGATACTATTTCTTATAGTTATAGTTCTGATAGTATCCTAGCTGACCAAGATTTCAGCACATTTGCCTCCAACCAAGACTTGAGAAACTTGTGGAATTCACCGCTCTACAGGAGCGAGCTCTAACATGTTTGCAGCTACTGAGAAGTTCCTCTGCAACCCATGATTTCTCAAATGATCTGTATGTCGATCCTCTCGGGATACAGAGGTGTAGAGAAAAAGGTACACTGAGGATCAGTGCCTATCCAAAACAGACAAGTATATTCCCTTATTAATCATGCTGCAATGCTACTGTATGTCAGTCACACTGGACTTAACCATGATGAGTGACATATTTGGACAGATGACAAATTACATTTCTTGACTAGAGTAAAATGCCAAATATGTAAATGCTTGATGCTCACCGCTGAAGTCATTGCCACCTATATGATTTGTCTGGTCACTTTTAGTGTTATTCCACTCTGTCCAGAGTCCCCTCTCCTTCAGCCAGAACGGTGTCCAGACTGCGTAGCTCACACACAGGCAACCTGCCAACCCCACACAGGACTGAGAGAACCTGAAGCGACTTGTGGACTCCCCCAGCTCCAGAAACTTCATATTTTCCCTGGCAGGGAAAACAGACAAGACAGGAGGAAATTAAGATGTTATTATTACATTGAAGTTGAGCAACCTCCTTATTCAGTTGATGTAACTCAGTTTTAATAATGTCAATTGTAAGTGAAGCACCGTCTTACCTTTGTTGCTGTAGAAAACAGAAAGGTGTCAGGAACAAAACTGTACAGTATGTCTGTGTACAGGTAAAACACTTCAGGAACTAGTTACAGGATGGTTACTGCAATACAAATACTACTGTACAAACAGAACACCCTACTTGTAGTGCTCAGGACCACAAGCCTTAGCTCGCAAATCAAACCGTGCAGTGTTTACTCCGCCTCTGCTGCAATGGAAACTCCCCCAGACGGCGTCTGAATTCCCCCTGAACTCTCCACTGCGACCCACCAGCTCACACTGTACAGAAAGTGAAAGCACCAACAACTGCTATTCAATATTGGAGGGAGCAGAAGTTTTTGTATAGCTAACATAAAAAAGATATATATATATATAAATAAATGGATGTTAAAAGGAAGTTGAAATCCCTTGACATTTGAGTGATATTCTGTAACAGCAATATAGCATGAAGAAATGTGTTTATGTCAAATGTAGAAAGTCTGTGGGGGTGTCAGAGTGTCATCATCCGTGACAAAACATTTAAGGAAATCTCACTCGCTGTTCCTCACAGTGAGATATCAGATATCTCACATATTTGTCATACCACCCACTACCCTTGCCTCTGTTGCAACGGAAGGGCGCCCACAGCCCACTCAAAATAAAAAGATTACAGCATATATCAAACTAAAATAATTTTCATACAAAAAAAGATAGTATATAAATTAAAAATTAAAACATGTCATCCAAATAAAATTGATTCAACTTAAGACATACTAGTTCATTCCTTTAATCACAGTTCATTAACTATAAAGAAATACATAGATAAAATAAAGTGCATATGACCAAATAATAAAGACGTACAGTTGAGAGTACGATCAAAATGTTAAACAGTACAACATAACTGATTTTGGTTGATTAACATTTGGCATTCATTTAGATTTGTAAAAAGACTAACATCGTTTCAGTGTGGATTACAAATAACAAAAAGCTGTTTTTCTTTAGCAGATCAAATATAAGGCCTCGAGTTTCAGAGAGAAAGTTCTCTGTTCTGTCCTTCCATACTGGCCTTACTGGCTTTTTTTTTCTTCTTCTCTCCTCTTCAGTCAGGTGTTTGTGTCAAGTAAACGCAGGAGGGTGAAGTACTGCCTCTTGAAAGCTGGCAGCTACGTTCGTGCATGTTTATCCTAAGCTTACTTCCCGGCTCTTTGCAGCAGGGCCTTGAATACATCAAGAATCTCTGGGTCCTCCCCAGCAGACAGCTCCGGAGTGTTTTTCTCCATCCAATCGGATGAATGGATCTGGTTCCTGAGGGTGCCAATCAGAGAGTCCAGACTGTCCGCGGGCTTTGATGCCTCGCGGTCCAGCAATACTACATCCTCCGTGTCCAGCGGGTCTGTGTCAGGCACAGAGCTATCCTTCTCCTTGGGCTGCTCCGATGACTTGCTCTGAGGTGATGATGTTGAGTTGACAACTGCAGCATTGTCTGAATCTGCACCGTCCTCTCTCTTTGGTTGTTGGCTCTCCTCACTGGCCGCTTTGACAGAGAGGGAATCAGGGCTGATGTTTTTTTCTTCAAATTCTCTCAAGGCCGCATTCATTCGCTTCAAACCTGACGCAACGCAAAACATTAACAGAACAAGTCAGTTACTATTATCCAATCAATACCTAGTTCAAGACAACAAAGCAGGAGGTAAAATGGAATAACACTAACCGTAGACTGAATAAATGAAATAATAGATCAATGTCAAGTTTAAGGCAGAAAAACTTGAAAATAGATTTCAAGATATAGTAGTAGAACCTTTATTTAGCCAGGAAAATCAATTAAGAACAAATTCTTATTTTCAATGATGACCTGACAGGAGGCAAAAGGCTTCCTGAGGGGATGGGGGATGGGAGGAAGAAAATTAAAAGACAGACTCCGGGCAGTACAGAACCCAGGAGACAACACGATGACACAGAGCAGAGATGGCAGGCATAGCAGTTAGACATATAATATATCTAAAATAATAGTGCTGGAGTTCAATCAGTCATTACAATAATATAGAACATTCATCCATTCAATCATTCATCCATTCATTGCTTCATGGTAATGCATACTATAGGAGAGGTCAAGACATTGGTAGAGAGCATCAGGCGAAGCAGCTGCATGTGTGTACCAGGGTGTTTGTAATAGTGTCCCTGAAGGAGCGGGGGGAGATAAAGGTGTCCATCTTCAAGTTTTTTTTTTTAAGAGGGCATATTAAACTACAGACTCACCGAGCTGAAGGTGGTGCTGTTGGTCGGAGAAGACAATGCGGAACCAGCCGGGTGTTGAGCAGTAGAAGGCCTGACCAGCGCTCAACACCACCTTATGTTGGAGGAAACGCCTCCACAGGGAAAGCTCCTCCTCAAATGACGGCTCTCTGAGGTACTACAGAAAAGAAGAGACAAAAGTGACACATCATATCTACAGTACAGGTCGCACATACAATAGAGTCAGAGTAAGAACTGAAGACATCTTAGCCTGGCATTCGTCTCGGTACCTTTCTGAGGTCAGCCCAGACGTAGAGCGCAGCAGGTCGGTCCAGGTAGGGGACGCCCATACTCTGCAGCTCTCCTGTCAGGTAGCTGTGAGCGGCTTTCAGTCTGCACCTGTTCTTCGGCAGAAATTCCTCGCTGATCCACTCTGAAACACGAGAGTGACAATAGGTGGGTGTGAATTAAATGGAACAAGTCTTTGTGCAGCAGAACCCTGCTGTGCTCCTGTCATATCAAAAGGAAGCCACGAAAGCGGGTGATATCTGGAGGAAGAATGAAAACCGCATACAGCACATTTGAATTATTGAAAAGCTTGTTTCCAAAATGAATGGATTTAGGAATGTTAACAAACAAGCAGCTTTGTACAAGGATAGCTGATTATATAAGTGTGCATTACAACTCATCTTTACCAAAAGGGGTTACATATTTGTCTTTTTTTTTAACCTTTATTCACCAATTTCATAATACACATGTAGACATACATAGAAATATGGAGATAACAGCAGATGTCATTGAATTATAAACCATAAAAAAGGACTTTTACAATAGGAAAAGAAGAGTGTGAAAACAATAGTGAGCATTTTGTTTATTATCTTCATAAATGTGTTTACAAAAGTGATAAGTAATGTTTGAACTAATCTATATGTGTATTGAAATAAACCTTATCTCTATAGTTGCGCAGAGCTGACGGCCGACAGCTGATAAGAGTTAACACTGGCCCAATGTTCTCTTCCATGAGAGGTCACAGTGATAGAAAGTCTCTAAACATAAGAGACAGCAATGATACTGCCTTGCTTAGCATGTGTTAAACAAAATGCCTTGTTTATGATAAATAGTGAAGGTGAATGGCTATGATAAAGAACTTATGGTAATATATAAATGTGACTACAATGTGTTATCGTATTGCTCAGTTTCTGTTCTCATTGGTCAAGCTCCAAAACACCTTCAACCTGGGACATAACTAGATACTTTGCTCATTAAGATATCATTCACCAAAAGCACATGTGAATCTTGGATCCATACCTCTGTCCTGAAGCAGTTGAGCTACCTGGCGCTGTGTGGTTCCAGAGATACCGTGGAAGGAGCCCAGCTGAGCCAAAGCCTCCACCAGGTCTCTGTTCTCAGTGTACAGAGTGCCGATTCTGAATCCTGCCAAAGCAAAGTCCTAGAAACGACAAGAGGTGTGAATGAAAAAAGAACGCCGAGAGCTAAAACCCACTGAAGAAAGTCTGAGATTTCACTGTCCTGTGAGCAGGGATATCAAAGTCTCACAATGTCACACTCGCATGCAGCCCAGCACAGTACGTACCTTGGTCATCCCCCACATTACGTGTGTCCTCTGTGGGTCGGGCAAACTAAAATAAGTGCACACTGTTAGCAGTTAAGAGGCTGTCTTCGGCCACAGTCTTTATGTTTCAGGGTGTAATAGAGTAATCATGCAGAGGTTAGGTTCATGAAGTACCTGTCTATACTGAGGACACTGTGAAAGGTGACAGATTCATCAAAGACCGACAGCATGTACACTTCATCCACGATAGTGTGGAGCTCATTTCTAAAGAGGGAAAACATGGAGACAAAGATAAGAAAAATAAATAATATAGTGGAGCATTAATAAATGGTTTTATACTAGTAATGATTGTTTATGACAAAATAAAATGCAACAGAACTGTAAAATAGTCTCCTCAACATCCTGCATCAGTGTAAAAGCACTGTGGTTTATGGTTACAGCAGCTCAGTGCCTGCAAGCGTCTGCGGTGGGAATCTCTCTGGCATGATCATTTAGAAAACAATGGATGATGCAGGAGACTCCTTTGCTCATGGCTGCACTTGAAAATATGCTGATGGTAAGGAGAGGTGATAAAACTCCATCAAGAGCGCTTGATATTCCACACATGGGACAGAGCTCTCGGGCCGTAAAATAAACAATCAACAATAGGAACTGTTTGCAGTGCTTTTGGCCATGTGCTTAAAGGAGTCAAAGGGCTGCCGAGAGGATTACAGTGTTAGGCCAGAGCTTGAGATAATAGCGGGGCAAACACACCTTTTGGCAAACTCCAAGAAGGCAATCATCTCTTCCAGGGTGTAGATCTCAGCCAGAGGATTGTGGGGGTTCATCAGGATAACAGCTCGGATGGTTAAACCCTAAAAGAGATGGGTAGTTTCTAAATACATTTAAATGTGTCTTTCATCTTTATAAACAAAGCAAATCACTGAGGAAACATAGAGTATCCAAGGTTCTTTTCGAAATACAAAGCATTGTTTGAGTGGTTTGGTGTTTCTTTAAATATTCATTAGGGGTAAGTGCTTCAAAACAAATGCAATCATGGCTTACCTCTTGTTTAGCCCTCTCTAAACCTTCTTGTAGTTTGCTCACAGTAAGGTGGAAGGGCCGACTGTCTTTGCCATCACCCTAAAAATAAAAGAACACAACACAAAAGCATTCAATTGGAAAACTGACGATACAACTTACTGCGCAAGATCCCATGATGTTCTTTAATGCAATGCCAATATTATACATGTGAGACACAGTATATTTAATCTATATCGTAATGTAACAACAATAACAACATATAGAACAAACATGTTGAACACCAACACATAGTAAGCAATCCAAGTAAATCCGGCTCTCTTTTCTTACCTCACAGTCGAGAGGGACATGGAAGAGTTTCACATCACTATACAATTGTAAATCTTCAGTTATAACACCGTAGAAAGGAGTAGAAATAAGAACGGCATCTGCAACATAATAAACACAAAGACCATATGAAATACAAAAACACATACATCAACACCCAGATGGGTATTTTCATTGCTAAATTAGAATGAAATGTACCAATTGCTATATATGATAATCAAAGTTTTCATTCCATATTGTACATATTCACACAAGTGATTGATTTACCATGAACGTTTGTAGTAACTGGTCCACTTTTCAGGCTTAAATTGCTATTTATGTAGCTGCCTAAATAATCATGTTGAGGAAAAAGTGTTAGGGTTATATGATTATACTACAACTACCCCATGCTTTATATTTAATACGATGATCATTTTTAATAGGCAAGGCAAGTGTATTTATATAGCACATTTCAACACAAGGCAATTCAAAGTGCTTTACAAAAATGAAAGACATTAAGAAACATATTATGAAATGACATTTAAAAAGCAAAGATACATGAATAAAAGTTACAACTACAAAGGCAACACAGACAAACTTCAGCTGCTTTAGTGGACATATTTGTATTAATTCAGTATAGATATGGAAGCATTGTGTTTTTATGTCAGTGTCGTCTGAACTTACCTTGAGGGTCACAAATCAACGCAGCGATACACGAGAAGAGGGAACCACAGCCATTCATCACCACCACCTAAAAAAACACACACACACATATTCACCGTGTTATGAAAACCCAATTAAGGCACAGAAGGAGGCTGATTCATTTGCTACATTTTCATCCACCTACTACAACAGCCATTCATTACATCTGCAAATTAAGTTGTTTAAACAAGAAAAGAGATATTTTAGTTCAGGAGCAGTACTTAGCATCTTTATAATCATTACAAGTTCATGAGAAACATTCATTTAATTCACTGCCTTCATCTGAGAGAAAGAATGGCTGTTATCCAAATTCTCTTCTGAAGCAGCATTATAAAACATTTGTTTAAATACTTATTTGTCAGTAATTACATAAATTGCTGGACATCAGTATTAGTCATGGGAAGAGGACCTGCTATCACAGATGGGCTCTACATTCCAATCTAGATGGACTGGTTACACAGAGGGTCTCTAATTAGCACCCGACACCTGCCAAATGCAGGTTAATGGTTGGCTCTTTGGTGGACAGGGAAAATGCACATGTTGTTTAAGTTGCTCATAACGGCTAGGACTGTATAAAAGCTGAGCTATTAGAACTTTATTCGTTTTGATTTAAAGTTGAAGTTGTCAATTCAAGTCTGTATAAATGAAAATATATTGATAGTATATTATTTGCATGTTTGTGCATGCATGTCAACAGTACCATTCCACCCTCCAATCCCAAAAAAGAGGGCTCCCAGAAAGCCAAGGTGTAAAGCCAACACTGATATTCACTGTGAATGTAATGCTTCCAGTTTAGATACATCTAACATTAAGGACATACCAAGTTTTCCTTAGTGTCGCACCTAGTTTACTGCAGCATGCCACTGTGCCAGACAGTGCCATTTTCAGACCCTGATTAAGAACAACAAAAGGAAAAAGGAGTATTTTACAGCCTGCTCTCGGATAGCTTCGTCGTGATTAATTTGACCAAACTGACTCAAAAGGTAGTGCCCAGTTAACTTTAGTCCAGTTGCCCAATTAAAAGGCTGCAAGTTAATAGGTGTGCTCTAGTTACTTTATTTCCCCTTTAAAAAAAAAGTTTCCTCGAAAAAGTAAGGAGACCACAATGTTAAAGAATAATTAATGAATACTTCTACATCTTATTTTAATTGCTGGTTTAGAAGCACATTACAGTTACAATTAACATGTACGTTAGAGTCAAAAGTGCAAGTCATTCTGCAAATAGTTTCCTTACAAATGTTTAATTATTAATGAATTAATGTATGTTGTAATGCACTAAGTATTAGTGCTCAGTAGTTTAAACTCTTGAGATGATTTCTGTATTTTGCTTTTATAAAATATGTTGTGTGTACAATGATATGCAAATGTGGCAACATCTCTACAGTCATAATTTACATGTTGCAAATATTTCCATCCGTCATATTGTGGGGGAAGTGTAAATGCTTGTGTTTTACAGACTGTTCAAATGACTTGTGTTACACTCCAGCAGCAAAAGCAATAATCTTCACTCACGTTGTCAGCCTTCAGTGGGTTTGGAGAACTGCAGTAGTGAGTAAGGAACTTTGCGACCTCCTCTCTTAGGCTGAAATGGAGAGGTTAGAAGAGGGTTTTACTTTAAAAGGCCTTGTTAAAATGAAACTTTACGACAGTCCTCTCATCTGAAGCGAAAGGAAATGTCCAATTACTTACAATGTATGTCCCCTCCAGTCTGAATACTGCAACAATGATGGCTCAATGTGTAGCATTTCAGGCCTGGTCAGCTGTAGCAGAAAGGAAAATTAAACTCATTTGTGAATCCAGGGAAAAAATCATTTAAATTACCAGGATGGGGTTGCACATTAATTACCCGCGTAAGAAGAAGATCATAGCATAGTTTGTTCTCACTGGTACCCATGTTGATTATGCCCTGGAAGCAAGAAAAGTGTTTAAGTGTCATTCTTTGTGTCATCAGAGCTTTTCTGACAGCTGCAAAGCCAATTTATTCATGACCCAGACTCACATCGGGGTTATCTCTGTCGTGGTGTTTGTCCAATCCATATTGAGCATGCCCCTCCTGGAGGATGCCCTGATGCTGTCGGATGATGTTACCACGGTTGGACAGGTATAAGCTAGAGCCAAGAGTTCCTGCTCCTCTCTCTATTGCCAAAACATTCTGGGACATTTTGCAGGGCTTGACAGATGTAGGCGGCATTGACTTGATCGTTTCCTGAGTGGAAGCAACCAGCGTCGTGGGAGCTTCTGAAGGCAGCTGAGATAAAGATGATGAGACAGAAGGGGCGGTTGTGGTCACCACTGAGGCTGACAGATGAGGTAGGGGTGAGCAGGAGGGGTCATTCGGTGTTGTCGCAGCGGTGGGAGCGGCCTGTCTGACAGCAACCAATGCCCCTGTGAGCATGCTGAACAGGCGGAGCTCGTGTTGGCGCTCCTGTTCTGCCCTCTGCTCCTCCCGCTGTTCTCTGCGCTCCTCGGCTTGCAGCTCTCTGTCCAGACGCGCTTCCTCCAGGGTGAGAAGGCGCTCCTCTGCTGACTGCTGCCAGGTCAGGAAGTTGGCCAAGGCCTTATCCAGGCTCCTTTGACCGCTGCATCTAGCACCCCCAAGGCCCCATGATGATTTGCCATAAAGGCGACGCTTCCTCTGTCTCACAGAAGATGGGGTATGAGGGCCATTTTGACTGGGCAGCTCAGAAGTGTCCCTTGGCGCATGATCACCACCAACAGTCTGGGTGGCAGGACCGGCAGTGTTCAGGTCGCTAAAACCTGCAGACATGAACAAAATATGTTTTAATTACACGTATAACCTGATGTTAATGACAGATTAGATCCAGCACCAGACACTTTGTATGCTGATATGGACAGTCTTGCACTAATGTACATTTCTCAAAGGTATTGAAGTGTTTTTTATATATTGATTGTTGTGCTTTTATGTATGTCTTAATGTGTGCATATAAATGTGTCTGTTAATTGTGTATGTATATATACATATTTTTATATATATTTGTTTTTGTATTCGGGATTGTGGGATCTCTCTGTCTGTACACACAAACTGAAAGATTGACAATAAAGTTGACTTTGATATTATATGATATAGTTATTATATACATAGTCTTAGTAATTATAATATCTGAAATGACTACCTGAGGGGGAGATCCTTGCATTTGTGGAGCTCTCCCCTCGGCCCGGAGAGTCCTCTTGCCCCAGTAGAGACTGCCCATCAGTTTCCTGTTCATCTCCTGACCCATAGTACATGTCAGGGTGGGCAACACCTGAATTCAGCATGCTCTCCTCCACATCTTCACATTTAATGTCCAACGGATCTCCTGGTTTTGGGGGATGACCAAACAGAAACCCCCCTGAGGAAGAAGACCCAAAGGTGACTGTTGGGACCCCCTGCAGGAATGAGTCAGGCCCGTCAGGGCTTTGAAACACATGTTGGGCTATGACAGCTCCCCCCAAGGAGGAGTAGGTAACAGCCGGTCGGTTCGCCAGCACCCTATCCATCACATCATAAAACTTCCATGACCTAATTTTGTGATTGTCTTTAATGCGACGGTACTCCAGCTTCATCTTTTTTATCTTTTCCCTGCACTGGTCCCCGGTACGACAGATGCCCTTTTCCCGCAGAATGTGGGCTATGCGGTCAAATACACGCTGGTTTCGCAGGGAGCTCTCCAGTTCAATCTGCACAGACTCATCGGACCACAGCTGCAGCAGCTCCACTATCTCCGGGTCGGTCCAGTTGCTGCCTCGCTCGTGCCTCCTCCCTCGAAAGTCCATGCTCCAAGTTACAGGACGTAGGCTACTCTGCAACACAAAACCATGGGGAAATATAAGCAGCTTACCTCTGTCAATACCACTTCAGGAATACCAAGACAGTGACATACCTAGAAAGTGGTAAACAACATTTATATACACCGTGTTTAACCTCATGTGGTGCCTCACCGTGAATAATACGTGCAGCTGTTCGGAACCAGATTGTTATAACTGTCGCCTCGATGCAGTGTCATCCACGCCTTATGTCCCGGCTGGTTAACCCGGTTTGGACTGGTTTAGATTGCTAAAGCTTTATATAGCTGGTTCTAAGACGTGTAATGCATTATACGGAGAAAATATGTAACAAGTTGGCGAGGGGGGGTATAGACCGAACAAAGATGTGCATCCGGGTTGACGGCACATGCGTGCTGTCCTTATTCCGGGATAACTTTGTTCCGTGCTAAAGCGGGGCTTCTGAAAATGGTCTGGATTCACTTGTACCAGGCTGTTACGGCTAGACAGCAGAGTCAGACTGAGAGCTTTCCGCTATGGCTCCCTCTACCGTGCGGTGTGCTTTCAAGTAATGAGTGTAAGTCAAATACTTACCCAGAAGATGGCAGTCACGCACAACAGTACGACTCAGACTTTTGTGAAAACAAGGATGTGTGTTTTGTATACAAGCGTAGCCCAGAAATCATTTGTAACGATGAAACAACAATGAAAGAGCTTGAATTCGAGGCAAACAGCCATAATTGTCACACACAAAAACGTCAAGTAGAAAAGCATTCATCGTCCAGTTAATAAGATTTAAAAGCCTTAATCAAATCTATATCGTGAAATATAAGTCACTTGTTTAAATAAATGATTTGTAGGCCTACTCTAATGTTCGGGATTTCATGAAAATATTACACGGCAAATTTATTTATTTCAGCTGCTTAAGAAGATGAACCGATATTATCTAATAAAACATCGGATTAACGTATCCTTGTGTCAGTTAATTCCTGTGTATTGCCCTATAGAAACAGAAGCCGCCCATTTGAACGACCACGGTGATACAAATCAAACACACCTCAGTCCAGTCGGCTCAAAACGTGACGTATTTCCTGGAGAATCTTGGTTTGTGGCAGTTTGTTGTCATCTTCATCCAGTAGTGAATCGTTATAGTATTGGCACGTAGCCCCTTATTCTCAAATTTGTATCTATTCGTGTATTTACTTTTTCGTGTGTGAAGTAATGCCAACATAACGAAACTCTAGCCAGCAGATCGAGCCATTTAAAAGTACCCTTTAAAGACAAATAACTGGGTGTGACCGCTGAAGTTAACTCAAAAATATCGGCAAGTTGTTGGCGGATAGGAGGCGAGACTGGAGAGTTGATTTCAGCACTTTTGGAGGAAGATGGGTGTGTTCGGCTTGCAATATTATCTATCTCCTGGACCAAGTAGAGGAAGTACAGCCTCAGGTTGGATGCAAAGTTGAAAGTGAAGCCTCGGGAGAAGAGGAGTCTCCGCCCGGAGGAAGAAGGAGAATATAATGAGGAGACATGACGTCTGGCTCCTCATTGGCATCTTAGGTTTTTTTTAAAGCCACGAGTTACATGTGTTCAAAGCAGGGAGGCGAACTGTGGCAGAGTGGGTGGGAACAATGGGAGTATTTGCGGAGAGCATGAAGGCTGTTTTAGCATAAAGTCTCTGCCAGTGCTGCCGATAGCTCTGCCCAGTCTTCCCAGTCAGGTAGACCCTTCCCCAGTGAGGGTTACAGGCTTTCTTTATCCAGTAAAGGTGGACCTCTTTTGTTGAAGGAGACATGATTTGAGCAGCTTCGGTCCGCTTCATCTCCGAAGCTTATTGCTGGTAAGATTACGGCATGTGTGTAACTCTTGTATTTAGTGAGTATTTTTGTCTTATTTGAATGTGAATTTAAATTCATCATCTGCTTTATTTTATGTCTCTTGTGCACACACTCTCGTTTGCCTTGTCTCTGTTACTTATTCACCCTAGAACCTTAATAGGCTTAATCCCCCATCAAGTGCAAACAAATGCTGTAATACCTTCCACTTAGTTCTGCTTCTCAGGCAAGGCATTTATGTTTGGACTATGCTCAATTCCCCTGCACACTGGCATTAGATATCTGTGCCTATTTTAAGAAAAGCAAAGTGTGCTCAGTTTGAATCAGCACGCTGAAAAACTAAACACAAAGTGATCTAATGCATCCTATTTTCTACTGGCCCCCTGGTTATCCTTGTTAATTTGTTTTTGTTGATAATTGAAAGTGCAAGTTGTACTGGATCTACAAGGGAGAAGTCAAGGTCACCAGCAATTGAAGCAAACTGCACAGCTCCAAGCTTCATTCTCAATTGGGTTACACCACCTCACCGCATCAAAGATTAGGCTACCCTATTAAACTAATCTTTTTGTCTGTCTCTGTCAGGCATACAGATGGCCCAGGCAAGTTAGGAGATTTAAGGTATTAGAAGAGTTTGTCATGCATCATATTTTTGTTGCTAGAGGAAGCTGGACTTATAATAATTCAGATAAACACTCAGACACCAACTCTCCAGCTCTGTTGATCCTCCACCGGCATTGACTTCAACAATACAGGTAATCCCTCAGTATTGAGCTCTTACAAGCACAGATTGTATAAGAAGCATACAACAGGAATTCAGTGGAGGAAAACAAGTTATAAATACCAAGTTTTCAACAATATAGCTCACCTATAACCTATGCCAAAGTGTTGTAAACGAGAAGACGTTTGACACACGGAACAAAGATTGCCTGTTAAAAATTGAGTTGGATTTCTCTGTGGGACTTCACATCACTTACAGAATGTATTCTTTCTCCTGGACACATTGCTGCTGCTACCCTAGACAACATTTTATCAGGGTTTTCCATCTCCGTAGCCTGGTGGCAGCGAAGATGGATCATGCTGTAGTGGTGGTACTCTGTCACGGTGTTGTCGCTCACTTCAAAGTGTTCTCAGAGGATCGCCATACAGCTCACTTCCAGCTGTGTACTGCTGTCCTGACAGAGCACAACATGCAATGCTTCTGGTATTCCAATCACACTCTTAACTTTGAGCAATGTTCCCTCTCAGGAGAGGATGCCTGGCTGTCAGTGGTACTTCACAAATGGTGCAGTTCTTTCCTGTGCCTTGGTTTTATGTGAGAGGGCATCCCAGAGCACATGGTGGGTGTAGATCTGGCTGATGGGCAGCTTGAAACAAAGCTGGAGGGCTGCATATGGTCTGTCACAGCTTTGTGTGCTTGTCATTACAAATGGAAATGGTCTGTTCACCCCTTTTTAAAAATGGAGTAGATGTGTTATGCAGTCACATTGTGTTTATTGCGTCTCCATTGAGTGATACTAATGTTGAAGCATTTACTAGATTGCATGCTTTATGTTTTACACAACACACTTTCAAGATTGTACATGTTCATGTAACTCTAGGCTTCTGCTGCTGTACACGAGGCAGTTGTTCTGGTGCAGCTAGGGGTCAAGTGTATTCCCTGGTCATACACATTTTCCAGATGGGTAAGAAAATCTAATTGGACATTTTCCCCAGCGCAAGACCCATTTCTCTCTCTCTCTCTGCACTACCAGCACTTTATAAGAGGTAGATCTAGATGTGAGCTATGATCAAATCTAATGATGGATGAATTGGTGGCATTAACCGTTTAACCATTGGTATTTTAATCAGCAGTGGAAATAAAGCCAAGTCTAAGTCATATACATTAATCACTTTATTCAGCTACAACTGACCAACACTTCTAAGTTAATACCAAGATGGATGTTGGAGAATGTTAAAGGAGCTGGCTAATGACCAATTTATTTGGCAAGGATCCCTCAAATTTATTTAAAAAAACATTGTGACAAAAATGTTTCATGAGGGCAGAAATGTAATGGTTGAGCAATAAGCTTTATTATCTAAGAAGGCAGTAACAGTAAATATACAATAAAGTTGATGAACACTCCACTTGAAATGTAATTATGACATCGCTGGCAAACATAAATTCCAAATATGCCACAACTGCGAGTCAATTTTAATCTGTGATAACTATAGAACAGTAATAAACCTGCTGATGTGAGTGGGGCTGTAGCTGTAGGTCACAATGCAGTATTGTATCGTACAGCTATTAAACATCAGCAAAGGTCAACATATTGATAACAAAATTGGCAAAATACTAATCTAGTATTAATGTCATTGTAAAGGCAACCGAACAACAAATATTTGCCAGTGAGGGATATGGTGTGAAGCTTTTCCAGACGCGTGGTGTTGACAGCAAATCAGGTCTTCTCTTTGAGTGCATTTAAGATGTTTATTTGGATTGCAGGATGATGACAGCAAAACAAGAGCCGGGTGTTTAACTGATAACTAAACAACTAACTGTGATAAAGAAATAAACTGAAATTAACTCAAAACAAACAGAAAATAAGCAAAAACACGCACGGTTGAAAAACTGTGTGGCTTCCCTCTGGTGATTCCCAATCCCTAATGCTGTGCACCTGTGTCCTCCCTAAATAGTAGGCTGTACCCTGAAATTGGCTGAGTCCCCGCCTATGCCCAGGTCAATTCAGTAGTATCACAGCACCTTCATATACAAATATTAAAATACATCAAATTGGCTGCAACACACCGGCTCCTAATTGTTACTGTATAATAACATAACAATTCAACAACATACAAAACATTGCAGCCAAATAGAATAGTCCATATCAGTATTCTCAATCCATAATGTTCATTGTTCATGTAGATAATCCAATAGGGTTGGTAACCCCAATAATAGAAGTTGGGTTTCAGTCTTTATTCAGCTTCCAATAGAAGACAGATCTTCGTGATTGGTCGCTCCAGGATGTTGTACTTCGTCCGGACTTTAACCGACCGCACAAGTCCCTGTCTGTCAATATCTTCAGGAAATAAGACGTGACCACCCATTGTGGCTCTGAATCTTTTCATGTCCTCTTCCTCTTTGTTCTTTTGTTGAGTTGGGTCAAGTCCACTGCTGGACAGAGAAGCTTGTATTTCTTTTCTCTTTTGACTCAACAACTGCAACGTCTTTCTCAGCTGGAGAAACCACGCAACTGAGATCTTAAGCCTTTTCCACGAGGAGAAGTGGATTATCAGTTGATTTACTGCATTCTGTGGGTCTTCATCAGAGATGTTATTTGTTGCATTTGGTGCATCATTAATGATGACAGTATTAACTGAAACTTCTCCTCTAACCTCTGGGTCATCACTGCTGATGGAAGTTGAATCCAAGATGTTAAGAGGCCATTCCTCTTCACTCTTGGAAAGAAACTCTGGGCCATGGATCCATCTGCTGCAAGTGAGAAGGTGTTCAACTTTCACCCCACGAGAGGCCTCATCAGCTGGGTTCCGTTTTGTGTCAAGTACCTCCATTGTGAGATGTCTGTGGCTTCTCTTATAGCAGAGACCCTATTGGCAACAAAGGTGTGAAAGCGCTTTGTTTCGTTCCTGGTGTACTTTAACACTGT